GCGGGAGCGCAGGTGGCGCGGTCCCCGGCTGCGGGCTCTGTCCAAGCCCCCGGACCCCTGGCGAAAGCTGGACAAGCCTCCCGAGCTCTTGCGCCGGCTGGAGCCGCGCGATTGCATTTCTTAAATCTTTGTGGGGGGAGGGAAGGGGTTCCAACGCTGCCCCCTTTACTCCCACTGCCCCTCAAAACCAAATACAGTGTTTACATTATTTAGAGCGAGATATTGCCACATTGAACTCTTGCTGTTCTGTGTAAATGTGGCCCTCCGTCTTTTAAATTTATATGTGAGGCCTTTTAAAATGTGAAAATAAAAGTAAAATGGGAAATCCTGTTGGCTGGATTTCAGATCATTTTTTATCACATTTCTGCAGCTCACATTTTTATTATAAAACATATGAACTTTAATAAGCAGGTCAAATGTGTGTGTTTTTTTAAGCATATCTGATCTGTTAAGGACAGGGACTGCGCGTCTTTCTCCATTGGGCTGTGTACACTGAGTGTTAAACTGTAAATCAGCCCGAGGATTTCCTCTGCTCATACATCCTTCCCCAGCAATTTCCTCTCGTGTCCAGTCCAGACAGCTTCAGTGACACCATATTTTCTAAACTAGAATTCTGGCAAACAAATCACACTAAACTTTACATCTCATCTTGAGAAACAAGATCCAACACATGGGAATCCCCAGGTAGCACAAGGTCCTGCATAAAGAGGAAATAAACAGGAAAAGAAGTTTCATCAAAAAGAAACAGTTAACACATCAGTTCTGTTTCAGGTAGCCTCAGGTCACCCTTGGGTGGTGTAGACATTTCCAAAACCCAGATAACACTCACTATCCCAGGAGGCAGACCTAGGTTAAAGTCCAATCTCTGCCAGTTTCTGGCAACGTGACCTTGGGAAAATCATCTAATTCCTCTAACCTTTAGTTCCCATGTATGCAAAATGGAAAAAATAATACTTACCTCATAGTGCTGTCGCCAGGATCAAATGATACAATGCCTCGCTGTTCAAAACGCGGTCTGCGGACCAGCAGCATCGCCAGGAGCCTGTTGGAAACAGAGCTCTTGAGATCCTGCCCCAGAGCAAAGGAATCAGCACCTACCTTTTAGCAGGAACCCCAGATGACATATATTTGCATTAAAGTCAGAGAAGCACTGACATAATGCATAAAACGTGGGGTGCCTAACACTTAGCAAGACTAGGCCTCTTTCCATGTTCAAAACTACACCACTGTCAGAAAAGTAAGGGCCAGAAGACTCACTCGGTCGCACACCCATCCAAAGGACTTAAGCGAAGGAGGTAGGAGCCCCGTAAATTCGACACTCTGTGTCGTCGCTCAGTTCTTACCAGTTGTTTTCCTTCTTATGCACTAAAGATCTATCTAGCACCAAAGAAATTCAGAAACCCAAATTTATTTCTTATTTTATGTCACAGAAGTAAATCATTGATGGCATATAGCATATTGAAGATAGATCGTCCTGTGAAAAACATTTTAAATGCAAAAACAAGGGATATATGTAATACTTTGAAAAATAAAGATAAGTTGAAAATAATAAAGTATTTAAAATAACAAATATTGTAGACTACACACTGAAACCCAGGCTTTCTCTCTGTTAGGTTGACTTTCTTCAAAGATAATCAATTGTTTGGTTTCACATAAACATTGGGGATGCAGGCTTCAAGTCTGTAGGAATTTGATACTGTTTTATTCTTTTAATATGTTTTTATTGATTTTAGAGAGAGAGAAACATTGATGTGGGAAAGATGGATATGCTGCCTCCTATATACCCCCTTCTGGGGATCGAGTCCACAACCCTCAGCACGTGCCCTGACAGGACAAGTCTCAACCAACTAAGCCACTCCGGCCAGACTATAATGTAGAATTTTATCTTCTCAGCTCCTCTGCAATTTGGGGGAGATAGAGACACAAGTGCCGTTTCTTCTGTCTCCCACCTGGGAGGGACCGTCCTGAGCACGCTCTGTGGGATGTCAGTACATTATAGCAAGAGCAATCATTTCAAAAAAGAGGAAATTATTGTCCATTCCAAAACAATAAATAAATAAATCCTGCCGGTATTTCAAATCTAAGCTCCCTACCTCATTTAACAAATAGTTTGCACCTTCTAAGGGCAAAAACACTCTTCTAAATTTCACGTGGGGTTACAGAGTAAAAGTAACAGGATTTCACACTAAATCTCGGCACAAGTTTAGTGAACACTACAGAACAAGAATGCGGAAGGTGGATGGCAGAGACCACAGCTCGCCCTGTGTGGAGGCGTTTTTTACTGAATGTTAACTGCCCGCAGCGGCTGACGCGGGAGTGACCGTATGAACAGGCGCTGAGCCGGAGGGAAGCTGGACACAGGGTCCTTTCTCTTAGGTCTGCCCGGGCCTAGCGGAGCAGCAGCTCAATGAGGTCTGTTACCTTCTAGGATTCTGGTAGCTCCACATTCCTGTCCCCTTCCCTCTGTCCACGTAATCACTGAGTGCCAGGAACCAGGAATAACTTCTGGAGTGTCCCCAAGGCCCCCAAAAGTGGACACTGATACAATTTGGTGAGGCAAAAAAAGGTGAAGGCATTCATTAGAAACTCCAAAATGTTGACAGTCCTGACTTATCTAGATAATTCACAGTGAAAGCCCCCACCCTACCAGGATCAGCACTAATCTCCCAAGCTCCTCTGCTCCTGCTTAAGTGGTTCGACTTTCTCACAATACAATGGGCTAGGGGCTGCCACCCCGGCTGGGGAAGACAGGTGATCGATACCAGCCCCTGGCCGAGGGCCCCCAGCCCATCTCCATGCTGGGGAATCGAGTTACTTGAATCAAAGTGAATGAGTTTTGCTGCTGGCTGTCTATCAGTGCCTTTTATTCTGATCTGCCGCTTATTTGAAAATGCCTGGGAAGATGTGGCTCCCGGCTAGAATTTCTCTTTGCGGCTGCTGGGTGGGACCTGCGCATGGAGGGTGGATAACTGCGGCCCCACGCCTCCAGTGGAGCTGCAGTTTAATGTTCAGTAACAGTGAAAAGGGGACAGATGCTGCTGACCTGCAGCCAGTAGTCCCTGGCCCTGGAATGAGAATGATCAGAGAGGTCTCTGCTTCGGGGCCACATCCAGTTGGGACATATGATGGCAGGAATCTGCCTAATAATAGTTTTTCTCATCATGCTCATTACATTTCTCATTTTCAAAGATTAAAACTTAACCATTCTTTCATAATGTCTTATAGATCATCAAAGAACTTATATGTTTATATGCATAACCTATGGACACAGACATTGTTATGGGGAAGGCCTGGGTGTGGGGTGAATGGGGGGTGGAGGGGGTAAATGGAGGAAAAAAGGAGACATCTGTAATACTTACAACGATAGAGATTTTGTCTAAAAGATTTTTAAAAATGAAGGTGGCAATGGCTTCATTATAGATTAAAAAGTGTTTTTCATCTCTAAAGAGCCAGAGCTGGCATCAGGGAAGAAAAGACTCTATCTTTCAAAAATCTATTTTTAAGTCAGCAATAACTACCCTTTTCCACTTCTCTGTATTTAAAAACACAAGTCATATTTTGCTGTTTGGGAAAACTGATCCAAAGAAAATCTGAGTTTAAAGAATTGTGGGGTTTTTTCTCAAATACCATACAATTTCACTTATATGTGGAATCTAAAGAACAAAATAAAACAAACAAAAATGAAACAGACTCATAGACACAGAGAACAGACTGATGGCTGCCACAGGGGGTGGGTGCTGGGGACTGGGTCAAAAAGCTGAAGGGATTGGGAAGTACAGATTGGTAGTAACAAAACA